TGGACATTTGGGCTGTTTCTATATTTCTGCTATTGTGGATAATGCTGCTATGAACAGCAGTGTACAGATCTCCATTGTGTCTCAGTTTTATTTTCCTTGGGGTATTTAGTAGAATAGCTGGATCATAAGGAATTTCTGTGTTCAGCTTTTTGAGGAAATGCCAAAGTGCCTTCCAGAGTAGTCGTACCATTTTACATCCCCACTAACAGTGTATGAAAGTTTCAATTTCTCCACACCCTCTTCAACAATTAATTATTGCTTTCTGTCCCGTTAAGCTTTGCCATTGCTACTGGGGTGAGATGGTAGGTATCTCATTGCAGTTTTGGTTTGCATCTCTCTTATTTTCAGTGATTTGAGGATTTTTTTTTTTTTCATATTTCTCTGTTGGCCATTCTAATGTTGTCCTTTGTAAAGAGCCTTTCCATGTTTTTTGCCCATTTTATAATTATCAGTCTTTTTCTTGTAGCGGCCATGTAACTTTCATTATGAGACTTTCTTCTTCTACTAGTTTATTTACAAAACTCGAATACAGATTTGAACAAATTCTATTTCCCTCATCCCCCACCCATTAAATTGTACAACCCAATGATTAATCCTCCCCTCCTCTGCTTCCAGCCTCTCCAACCCCTCCTGGATCCTTATGCTCATTCTACATTAACAATTTTACACAATATTCACCCTTGTGGGACTGAGTTAGTTCACTCAGCATAATGCTCTTCAGTCCCTCCCAAGTTAGGTAATAATTTACAAAGTTATTGCTCTTGTGTGCTGCGTAGTGTTCCATAATTTCTCAGTTTACTTGTTTGTGGTCAGACATTTGTCCTGTTTCCATGTTCTTGCAATGGTGAATAATGCTGCTATGAACATTGGTGTATAAATCTCAGTTTGGGCCTCAGTTCTCATATTCTTTGAGACTTTTTTTCTGAGATGTCATTGCCAAATGTTTTTTCCCCTGTCAGTAAGGTTTTTTACACCCTATTGGGAAAAAAATTTTGATGTACACAGGGACTTGATCTTTAGAAGGTCCCATTCATCAGGGAGCTCTGGTGGCAAGAGATGCGCAGTTCGAATCCACCAGATGCTCTGCTGGAGAAGTAGGGACAATCTCCTCCTGTACCAGTCAGATCCAATTTGACAGTACACATGCACAAAATAATAAAATAAAATTTTTAAAAAAGGCTTTTGCAGATAAAAATCAATCCTGGAGTAAATGAAATAGTTAAGCTAATAAAATATATTATCAACTAAATACAAACTTAAGAAATTTCAATGTTACCCCTTCTGCCTTTTTTATGTGATCCTGGGTCACCTTCATCTTCAGTTGCTGTATCTTGGTCTAATTCCTTTTGTTCCGTTTCTTTGTTCTCAGCACTAGTATCAAAATCTTTCCTTTCTTCTTCCCTTAAGGATAAAAAGCTTACACTCAAAAACAAACATATAATTTGCTCATCAAATATTTATCACTGGACTACAAAATACTAGACATTACTAAGGAATTAGTGAATATGCACACAATCACTATTGACACAAGGTTTACTGTCTGGCAGA